ATGTCGTTTAGACGAGTGGCCCTGTCGCCCGGTGTTTCTGTGCATTCGCCAAGTTCACACGATGTACACGGTAACTGAACGGTAACATAGCACGGCGCAGCTGCGATGAAATTTTAGTTATGCGCGGAAATGAACTGATTGTGAGATCCAAACCATGGTGTAACTGATTGAATAGAGCGGCCGTAGCAATGTGGAATCCGAGTAGATGCGAGCTACGGTAGAATTACGAACATAATTGGGATGTTTACGTGTTGGTAATGGAGACGAATTACTTGGAGCGTATTAATCGAAGGAAGCCGTTCGATGGTAATTTGATTCCAGCTGATGATTGTAATAAAATTGAAATCATAGATATAGAGTTATCGTTGCATCTTCGTATCGAAGCTCGATTTATACTAGATAGAAGATTTGTAAGGGATCAGTCGGATTAGAGAGGATAGTGGTTGATATTTGAAGAGATACGATTTGAAAGGCGAATAAAATTTAGGAGAAGGTACTTCTTTAAAGAAGATACCTCTTGGTTTATTTTTTAGAGTCTGAATGCTCGAAAGGTATCAGAAATAAATAGGAGACCGCAGGAAAGAGAGTTTCAAGATGCTCTTCATTCGACGCGATACGTTGGCATATAGCTCGAGGTATACCGGGGAATACAGTTGCTTATCGAGAACTGTCTGGTATGAGAATAACCGCGAGACTGTAAAAATCTCCTCAATTTCGGATTCACGTCGTCTTCCTTCGTTTTTTGGACGAAATTTCATATAGAAACTACCTCGGCTCGCGATGATACGACTATCGAGGAACGATATCTATTTTTTGGCGACTGTAGCGAAAGATGTTTTTGTCGGAACGTTAACATTCGATGCGGTGGGTGTATTAAAGCAATGGCGAACGATGAATTTTTATGCCGAGCATTGAAACGAAAATATAGATAACGTTGCTTGGAGGTGCGATGCTGAGTTGATACGGAAGATACAGATAAAAAACGTATTAGAAGATACCGTATCACAAAATACTAAAGAATCCAGTATTACTATTAATCGATAAGCTAATAAAGAAGCAAGTATTACAGGATCAATTTTAAATAAAAAATAATAAGTCGAGTATTAAATAATAATTTTAATCCTCGTTTGCAATCATTTCAATAAATACTGAAAATACGAAACTGTGGAATTAAATAGTTTACATTCTAGTTAAAAAAATTAATACTTTACCATCTACAAGTTTAGACAATACAGTTCAGTCCTAATAGTTATCTATAGTGCAGGCAGGGTACGCTGAAATAAAGTACACAACCGATTAAGTACTATGAATTTATTGTATTTACCTTCTTGAATCTTACAAATAGTGAACAGCGAATACCGACATTAAATGGATTTTCTATGTTTTTTTTCCCGTCTCTTCTCTGTTCTCCCTTCGAGTGGTATCCCCCCCCCCCTACAACAGGTTCGCACCTTAACCGCGTTAATGACATTAATAAGTACCAATAACTTACGGATGCTTATAGACGTGTCTTTTTTTTTTTTATTTACTTTATCGTTATCATGGATACATTACTATGGATGATGAGACGTGGTTAGCGATGAGCAAATATATCGAGCCGAAGACTTTACACGAATGTTCTTCGATTTTACATACAATGTACTCCGGTCGGGGTCAATTCGATCGAAGATCGAAATTGGTACCATCGACACTGCAAGCTCGAAACCCGAAGGCAATCAAATTTTCAAAATTATTAAACATTTGAACACTATTGTTAGGAAACTAAACGCAAAGTGGTTTGCAACAATTATTTACATCCTCCTGACTCAAAAATGTTTAAACTCAAGGAAGTCTATTTGCTTCTTCTCGGTAAAATGGCAACTCACCCCCAATTTAATCGATCTTCGATCGAACTGACGCGTCGCGTGTGACTTACTTTGTCTAACTTCAGAATACTTTTTTTCCTTTTAGTTTACTTTACTTTACTTTACTTTATTTTATTTTATATTATCATTTTTTTTTTTTTTTATCAAACGCGTTACGAATTACTCGTGTATTCGTACTCGAGGATACACGCGAGGACGCACACATACAAACGAATAACGCACACGCACACACGCAGAAAAAGATTCTTACTCGCAAAAACGTCGCGACGCCGAGCGTCGAATATTACGGAACGCGGCCGTGAAAATCTTGTCGTCCATGGTGCTGGTTCAATCGAATAGAAATGGAGAATCGTTCGAGGATACAAGTGACGCGACGTCGACTCGAGGAGGAGGTATTCCTTCCCCTTCGTCCACACCAACTATTTAATCGTGTGTCGTCGAGGAATTTCACGGAGAAGATTCGATTTCTCCGTCGAGTTCCACGCACATTTATCGTTTGTCGAGACAAGTAGAAAGAAGTTTAGAAATCTTTAATCATGTCAGAATAATAAATTAAGAAATGTAACGATTAAAGAACTCGAGAATTCAGAATTCTCAGAAAAATACATTGCAAACGATTTAAGGGTTCGTCTCTCTTCGATTCGCGCGTATAAATGTGCTTGAAATTCGACAGAAAGTTCGTTTCGCTTATTGGTAGAATGCCTAGTAAACGAACTGGGTTTATCGTATACTATATGATAATTATCTTATCATAGAAATCGTTGAGCTGTATTGTAATAATTACATCCCTCTGGTGGTGTCAAGTTTTTGGTCAAACATTCAGCGAATGTTTTCACGAAACAACGTTATTAGTTATTTTTGTTTAAAACATGACTTACATGAGTAATTCGAAAATTAAAAAAATATATTTCGTTAATTGCTGCGTCAATGTATTTTTTTACTCAATTAAGATGTTCTATTGTCTTCTTGTCCATGCATTGGTGTATTAGCACACATTTAAAGTAAATCAACTAAAAGTACACGAAAACAACAATTGAAATGTTTTTTTTAAATAAAAAAATTTTAATCAAATTTACTTACATACAACAATAATTATTGGCTTTTTCTTAATTCTCGCTGATTTTGTTCACTGAAATTCTAACCGCGTGCCTATAGAATTTGGAATTTTGTCAATTCTCGCGATCCGGATGGACGCAAAAAAAATTCAAGAGCCTCGCTCACGCTGACGCATACACTCGACGAAACAAACACGAAGAATCCACGCTGCAAATGTTCGATCAAACAGTGCAATGTAAACGCACGTTCAATTTTGCCTTTTCGGGCATTAGCACGCGGTGATTTTGAACGGCCCAGTTTGTAATGAAATTTCAACCACAATGAAGACAGGAAATTCTACATCGCAGAATTTCTACACTGTATTGGAAAAAAATAAAATATAACCGTAGGTAAATACATGGTGCAACCGTAAAGGAGTTGATAGATATTACGGATATAGACCCTTTGGTTTCTTGAAATCACTTATGAAATACTAATATTATTATAAAAATCTATTTAAGCTCCTATTATTCCCTAGGAATTTTTTTAAATGTTCTTCAAGATTGTCTTTGTCTTTATTCGATCACAAACCTTAATTTTTCGGAGATTATGAACGATACAATGTAGTATCGTTATTAAAGACTGAATAAAAATTAGAACTTGAATTACAAAGTAGTAGAATTAGAAGTAGAAGGAACCAAGTTATCCAAATATGTGTTCAATGTTTCAAAGTCTCCCCAAATTTCGTCCATCGTTACTACCCATTATGTAAGCAGCGAAGTCTCCCGCAAGAAAATTCTATTCCGCGTCTTTGATTTATGCATCCTCATTCAGCTACGTATTTTTCGTTAACCCGTATAATTTCCAAGATAGATTCCGTTTTCAATTCAAAATCTCTCCCTCTGACGTTGCCTAATTCAGCGAAATGCAAAATTCGCGTAGAGCACAATGAGAGCTTTATGTCCACCAAGAAGCGAGGTCTTGAAGCGACTTTAAGCCAGTCGTGACCTGATTATGGGAGCGCTGTGCATTAATGAACCGCGCATAGGCGTCTCGCTTGTAATTAACGAACCGTTTTACGTCAACAACGCATCCCCGAGAACGATAAACAACCCCCCTTCTGGTGTTCCAAACTCTAATGTCTATTTTGTAACTTTAATTAAAAGAATCAACAATTCATCGTTCTCATAACTAACAAGTACGTGTCAAATACTTAACAAAAATTGAATTTTTGAAACCCAGTAGTAAAGGCTCCAGACTTTACGCTTGTTCATTTCATTGAGATCGTGTGTGATTTCATTCGAAATTAAAAGATTGGAGATATTTTATAGTAATCAAATCTCGAAGCCTCTTATGGAAAACTTTGTGATTGTTTCAAGCGTGAAGTAGTCGTGGGAGGTCAGACTCGGTCCCACCTCGAGACCAGTTTCTCAAGAAGGGTTCTCGTATGCGATTCTCATCGTGGATACCATCGAGTATTTACCATTAATTCGCAAATGCGGTTTTTTGCGAATTCCAGCCGTCGACAGCGGTTCGCTCTTCGCGAAATGGAAATGGATGACAATTCCGGCGGAAGACGAGGACGCCGAGGGGAGAACAAGGAGGGTTGAAGAGAAGATGGGCCGCCTGGAGTGGTAAACAAGACATGAAAGTAAAAGATGCGATACGGAAAGATAAAAGAAGCGGAAATATGCGAGGGAAAATGGCAAAGGAGAAATTCGATTGGATGACCAAGCCATTCCTAACTTAAATTAAGTTTCAAGTAGAAATACTTCCAATTACTTAAATTTCTATTGACGACGTAGTCGAGATTTCAAAGTATTTATAAATTGATTCCAGATAGAAAGACTTCATTAGATACCCCTTGTTATCATCGAATAATACATTGTTGGAAATCAGTAACTCGGCACTACTTTAAGTAAAAAGCAGTATATACCACCTGAGATTGAGTAATAACAAGGTAATTGAAGGCCTGTCGTTCAGTCGACCAAGGCCCATTAGGCGATCCTCACCGATATCTGCTGTCGGAGTTACGAGACTTGCCACTTACCCCCTCCCCAAGTGAAAGTAATAAAACTACGAAATCGATAAATGCGAAAGAAGTCGGGGGTGGGGCGCAAGATCTGTGAAAAACGAACAAAAGGTGACGGTGGCAAAACAGAGAATAGGGAACGAACGAGACAAAGGGAACAAAAGGACCGAGGAGAATTTGATTTCCTGGACGGCTCGGGGATACGGGGTTCCGAGGCTGAAAAGTGTCCCGGACACGGTCCAGGTGATAATTAAATTTATCACGGGCATCGGTTACACGGATGTGGTTTTTGTGCAGCGGTTCGCGTGCACGCGCGTGCCTCGCTGAAATATTTTGCACCAGGCCATACAATAATGCTCAAGCTAAATTATCGTATTATACAACCGGCGGCCGGTTACCCCCGCGGCCACGACCCGCTGATTTACGCCGAACAACCCCTACGTCATTGTCATGACCCGTTTAACCGTTCCCGAATCGAATCTAACGCTGATTTTCATCCCGCAATCGATTCTTACGGGCATTACGTGGAAAATTTCGTTCCGTTCGCCTCATCGTCGCACATTTGCATCGAACGATCCTCGGGGAACAACTACAGGTCGGATGGATCATTCTTGCTGGATGGAATCTACTTATATTGTAGTACATATGAAATTTATTTGTCTCGATCAGTGTGAATACATATTGCATCCAAAGGGAAAATAATTTGTTGGTATTAGAAGCAGGTATTGAAAATTTGATATTTTTGTATGAGATATAGAAAATTAAAAAAATATAATACAAGAGTGAGTTTTATTTATAATGGTGCAACGTCGGTAAATCCACAAATCTTTCTAGATTTATTTTTATTTCTGTCTCATCTTCGGAATTAATTTACTTACTTCTTTAATGCAAAAGTCCTGTCACCCGTTTCTGGGTGACGTGACGATCAATTCGTTAAAAGAGTCGTATATAACAACTACTATAGTTTTTCGATGCTAGAGTTTGATTTCGCTTCCTTTTTAAAATATGTGTCGTCGCTGATTTTTCCATTTGTTTTCCCAATCAATTTTCAGTATAGCCTTTGCCGCTATCCCGTACATTTGAACGAAATTTTTTTTTTTTTATTATGTTTGAAGCATTGTGTGCAACAGCGGCCGCCTTTGTCCATTTTTCAGCGCTATTTGTGCACAGCTGGTTGATTGAAGCTTCTATAAGAGTTCGGCAAACAAAGAACCGCGATATGTAATCCAAAACATGGACCGTAATTTTTCAGTAGTGGCGCCTCTTCGTTATTTCGATTTCATCATTTCGATGGTATTCATTTTCCGCGAGAAGAAATTCTCGCAACACGAACGCGATACGGGAAAAATTAAAAACTATTTCTCGCGTTTGTTTGCACCGCTCGATTTATTCTCTCCGCGCTCGAAATGATTAAATAGATGGCTGTTACGTCAAATTAAATGGGACTGGAACGAAATTTCAATTTTTTTTGGCGATCGTCGGATGAATTTTTTGTGACGTTAAATGATAGACAAACAACAGGCTGGAAATCTTTTATACTCGTGGGGTTCGGTTCAGTTGTGCAGTAATTTTATTTTCAACCCATAACAGGGTAGATGAAGAGGTGAAGTTAAGTAACAGCAAGAACTTTTCATCCTTATTATTCATTGATCTTTATAAATTTAAGATAGTCGACTTTTTTAATGGGACCCATTCCGAACTAAATATCAACAAGTAAAACGAACGTAAGAACGCAATCTGTACTTGTATAAATAAAATTGATCTTCCACCAGTCTTCAACAGAAAATTATTCCCCAAATGCGAAGCTGCGAAAGACACCTTTCGTTCGAAACAGATCTATGCGAAACAGCGGTGGAAATATTGTTAAACGCCTCATAAAAATGCATCGCAAATAGAAATCAAGCACGGTAAATAAACCATCGGCGAGGGCCGATTAATCAAAAGCGATCGCTGTCGGGGAAAATCCGTGCCAGGCTCGATATCGAAAGGTCTTTCCAGATTCACGATCGCCGCGGAAATTCATCAACCTATCCCGATTAGGTCGATGGGATCGGGATACCGGTGTGATTCGCGTTGTCCTTTTCCGTCGAACGAACAAAAAAAAAAAAAAAATAGAGAGAGGGGAAAGAGGATAAAACGAGACGAGAAGGGAGGAGAAAAAAAAATCAAATCCACCGAAGGGCGAAAACCGATTAACACGCGCGATTGTACGTCATAGGGTAGGTGGATGCGAATTGGACAGACCGATCGCGTGTATCCGTCGTTTATGCAGACGCATTTGGAAAAGTTGGAGGGGCGAGGTCGGTGTCCAATGGAAAAATGATTGTCCACCGAAACGGTCTGGTAATCAAAGTGTCAAATTTATAGCGGCGTAGCGAACGCAAATTTGCATAACGACACGCGATAAACACAGGGGCCAGGAAGTGATTCGATACTTTATGAGCGATCATTGTCTGCCCGGTTGAGCGCTCCGGGGCAGTCCAGGAACGGGAGCACTTTATAAATCGCGAGTGATAATTTTCTGCCACCCTGTGCACGGCTATTATACGACGGTTTCAAGTTTGCAACAGCGTGCCGCGCAGCGCCTTTAAAGTTCGTCGTTCCGGCGCTATTCATGAGCGCTGATGGTATCGCACGATGTTGCTCGCTTTCCGAACCGAGCCTGATGTAAAATGTAGACGCACTATGCGGTTCATTGGTTGGTGTTTTCCGTCGATACACACTGGAACCGCCATTAGCTCGCACGGTGAGTACGGTAAGTAAATGGGGGAAGGGGGATGCGAGTTGTTAAATCACTTTGGAACTTTTACTCCTTTTAGAATGAAAAATAAAATAGTTGAGGTGTGAATTCTCTATACCTTGAATAATATTGATATGAAGTATTGATCCGTTAAGAAAAAGTAATTACACTGTTCAATCGTTTTAGGCCCTCCTTGCTGGTTGCACCATTCATTGCAGAACACCTTATATAAGGATCCAATTAGTAGCCATACGCACACGATGCACTAAAATGATGTAAATTAACTAAGCAAATAAAAGTCTCTCTCCAATACAAGATAACACTGTCCCCAGACTTCTACTCTCAAAAAAATGACAGAACACCCATAAACCCAAACATCATGATTACCTTTCGATCAAGAAGTCTATTGGTCTAGCACTTTCCCTCGAGAAATTTCTCTTTGAAAAATCTTGTCTACCTATTAACATAGCCTCAGCATCGTGCTCAGTCTGAGCCGTGACGCATTTATAGATCACTTGGCTAACCAAGTTTCTTTGAATCCTCCACTTTATTTCCCCAGTTCTGATTTCTCTCTCCTCAAGAACAGATCCGTGTCCCGTCAGGATTAATCATTTCCTCGACGAAACAGCTTCGTCCAGTTCGTGGTCGTTACTACTTCCAAAGACGCGAAAGTTGCTTCGATTACGAATAACTTTCGTAATTTCCCTTTCGCGGCTCGCTCGAAGGCTGTTGGGTTCGGGTAAACAATACTCGTCGAGTATTCGGTAGTCAGAGTCCGTGGCGCTACAAAGGAAAACGTCTCGTTCGACTGAACGCGCCTCAATTACGTCAACAACCGCGACGAAAGCTTTCTAATTCTCGAGGACACTCCTCTTCTCGCGGGAGTGCTCGAGCCGGCAAAGTGCTCCTCGTCCCGGGGTAACAGCGAACAGGAAAATCCGCGATTTCTGACCTCAGAAATCGACTGATATGTTAATCTGCTCAATGGAAGTTCGGTTGCAGCCGGCTTCTTCCGAAACTTCACTCTTCGAGGGCTCCGCGAGGGCTCCGACGCAATCGAACGACTCGATAATTATTTACAATAGCGCCCACCTCGACTTCAGCGATTGAGAAGCATTTGAAGGGTGTTCGGGAGCGTTTGAAGCAACGACTACTCGTTCGTCACCTTTAGTTTTCAAGGTAGAGTTGTTAGAAAAAATAGAAATATGTATATTTATTGGAACTAGCAATCCTGTGTGTACTTTCTCACAGTTAAAGAGGTATCTTTCCTGTTAAACTTGAAATAGAGGTACTCCTTTTCAACTAATAATATTAATGAAATTCGATTGTTATTCTCGCTAAATTATTCAAATTTCTCTTTGAATTTATATTGAATTATAAATACATCTCAGTGGTGCCAGAACTTTATTCAATAGCCAAACGTATTATAATTGGGGTTATCGGGGAGGGTCAAATTAATTCAAGAAACTTTGCAGGATATGCAAATAATGTTTGCACATGGAGATACTTGATAGCTCTTCAAACTTATCCATTGTGAAACTCGTAACAAGACTGTAGTAATATGAAAAAAGTACATTCTTTCTCTTAACCATAATTAGCTAGAACACGAACAGAAGTTTCTAACAATTCCACCTTGAAAGTTAGAGACGATAACTACTCCTCTCCACCAAAACATTTACCAACGCACCGTATTCAATTCCGATGCCGTGGAATCCGATGAAGTCGGGCGTTGCTGCAAACAATTACCAACAATTCGACTGTACAAACAACGGCGAACGTCCGTCGCCCTCCTCCCGTTCGACGTTTCGCATAGGAAGCGCGAAAGTGTCGCTTATGGCAACGGGCTCATAATAAAATGGGCCTCGAGCATCGAGCACTTGTAAACACGATCCACGAGTGGTCTCAATAGAGAAGAAACTTCGTTGTTCTCGGAGGAATTTCACGCTCCAGTCAGCATCGTACCGTGAAAAGGAAAGAACACAAAAAAGAAGGGAAAAGATAGTCTGTCGATGACGTTGCGCGAGGAACGAGGGTTCCAACGAGGGAGCCTCGCTTCCTGTCGCGATTTTCGTTCGTGTTTGGAAAAACGAGGCGTCGATTTCGCAACGTTTTCCGTTTTCGTCGTGGAAAACGTTCCTGTTTCCTGGTGAGTTTTCTGGCTTCGATGAAACGGGCCAGATCGTCGCCATCGCTTCAAGATCTGGCCGCGTGGATGAAGAAAGTTAGCACCATTCGAACTGCAGGCCCGCGGAACAATCGAGTCATCACGGTCACCTCGAAAGCGACGAGGTGAGCGTCGCGAGGACGATGAGGACGAAGACTGATCTCAGCCCTCCGCTGCCGCCGTGCTGCATGGCCGCTGGATTCTCGCCTGAAACAACGAAAATTAATTAATCTATTAATTATTAAATATAATAGCAATTCGGTTCTTCATGGTTGATACCAAACAAAGCTTTGATCTTTTGAAGATTCGTATTCAGAACACTTTGTGAAATGTTAAAATTAGAATATTGTCAAATGAAGAAGTATCGTAAGTATCTCGAAGCTGTTGATATGAAATAAATACCATTTCTGGCACTTACATCCTAACAAATATTATAGTATATACTACTTCATATACATTCCATTTCAATAATATATACATATATTTATATTAAGACATTAAGCAAATTAACAATAATGTTTCCTGTCCCACATTGAAAACTCCAATTTCGCAACTTCCCCCTCTCACGAACTGAAATTTTGATTGTAATTTTCCACATTGGTCGGTGGTCTGGCGCTTAACACGCGAACGAATTTGTTTCACGCGCGGAAGGGTGCGTCAAACGGTGATATTAATTACACGCAACTGAAGAGCCTGTTTCGAATTCCAGCATGCAAATATTTCAAATGCAACGATTAATTCACGGCGCGTCTTTATTGTATATTAAATCATTTTCACCCTGGTTTTTTCTATTTTATTTCCACCGTAGGTCAAGTGTTTGTTCACATTGTTGTCGAATTTAAAATATTTTAAATTAATTAAATCGTCTCGTCAACGATTTAATAAGAAACAAAATCCTTTACGAATCACATCCCCAGCGATTTGAAAACGTACATTTGCCTCCATTTTGTCCCTCTTTGTTTCAGAATAGATTTGACGAGCACTCGAATGGTCTCTCGTGCAGTCGGTAGTGCACGCAGCAATTCTAGCCTCAAATTCGATTCAGTTTCCCGACTAATGAATCGCTGCGAGAAAAGAGGGAAGAAAGAACTGCTTAGGGACTGTATGGTATTCGCAACCGGATCTATTTAAAAGTTCCAGAGGTAAAAGCGTCGAATTTAAGCGACCGCTTTAAAAGTTTAGGGAACTGCCAACCTGCGTAAGTGGGTTTAATTCTCGGAATAACGTTTCGGGGTTAGTAGCCGTTTTTAGCCGACACTGTTACGTGCTCGAAATAGTGGATCGAATAGTGGATCGGAATGGGTTTCGAATTTCTCCGGCACGACAAAAGCCCCAATTGGTCGCGGATGAGACTGGGCGCGCGGTTGAGAACTTAAAACTCGTGAAAAATATGTCGGGGATTCGAATTCAGTCGAGAATGCGAGCAGAACGAGAGAGAAAAACATTCGTCGTGTAAACCTCATTTTTTAAAATAAAACGTTCCCTTCGAAAATATGAAACACTTCCGCGTGTTTCGCATTGCTCCGTTGGCGTACGAAATATTCTAATTTAATTTCCAACGCTACAAGAATATTCTAATTTAATTTTCTATTATTAGTCTTGAATAAGACTTACAGATTAATATACTTTCGTTTTTTTTTGCTCAGGCCTTCGTTAGGAGAGATTGTAGTTTTATATTTTCATAAACATTAATTACAGAAATATTTTAATCTGAAAAAATTTTTCCTGTTTATTTATTGACGCTGCTTTGTCAAAAGAAAACGTTTCAAAATAAAAAATGTATTTATAAGAGAGAAAGAGAGGAGTTTCAACAATGAAATTACTAAGTTTGCTATGAAAAATATAAGGGTCGATTTTACTCCAGAATTATTAACATTTTTTAATAAAGATACACGTTATTCTCCAAAGTACAAATTTTATGCATTTACGACATATAAAAGCCGCGTGTTCCTGTCCAATACATCCCATACCGTTATGCAAAATGAAACATTGACAGTATTATATTAACTCGTGAAATATACTCCGCGTATATTGTCCTAGCAATATTACCAGCTGCCATAAACGCATAAAATTAACGGTCTAATTATTACACAAATACAGAAATGCAAATGACGGTTCTTTAACCATGAAGATTAATCAGGCGAAATATGCACAATGATGTAGACCTTAGACACTTATACCTCGCGAAAAATGGAAATTGTAAATCCACGAAATGTTAAGGAAAACACCGTATCATCTGCTTTAGGGTACAAAAAAAAATACACGGATCTCCAGTCGAGAGGATCGAGTATGGATCAGCAATTAAGGAAATGATAGGGGAATAGAGTCGAGAAAGGGACAGAGGGGAAAAAAGAAAACGCAGGAATGATGAACGGTGCCGAAAGGGGGATGGAAAAACATCGCGAAGCCCAGACTTAGGCCGGATTAATGTACGGTTCTTGATTTTTCGTTAATCCGTAATCCTCCTCTTCTGGCTTAAGTGCTCTTAATTCGATGTTCCCGTATAATTAAATGTAAGTGGACGAGATTGAAATTAACGTCAAATATCGGGATCAAATTCGCGCAGAATCTCGTTTGGAAGCCTTTTGCAAATCACGGGCAAAAATATCGTCGAATTTTAGGAAAAACCAGGAGTGGATTATTCGTTGAATTTGAGAAAAACAGGAAGGAAAAATAGGAAGGAATCCCATTTAAAAATAATCACGAAGTTCATGAGTAAATCATTATTACATCGCATTAGAACTGAAGCGGTACCTAAAAGTAATAATTAACTAATTATTCCTAAAATCACTTCTAGAATCAAACCATTACTCCCGGAAATTCGATCCAGAAGTGGTTTCAGAAGCTCTGGCTCTATTCGAAGTCCAGGACGAAGTATTTAAAGGCAGCCAGTTTTCAGGATTCAATTAAACGGCTCCCAGTGCTAGAAAAATTTACAACTCTGTTTACGCCCGACGCTGGTAAGCCGATTCTCACAATTAGCCCTAGATCTTCGCCTCGTTAATTGGATCCTTCCAGTTCCCGTGGAATAAGGCGTCGAGGACGTCTTCGTTCATCCGGAAAGCGAACGAACCTATTTTCCTAACTGCCATAGAGAGAATCGACTCCGGGATGTCGTCCTGCGATTGTCCCACCCACTATCCCTCCTGAAACGGAAGTTTCTTATGGAATCAGATTCGCCGATTAAAACGAAAGGATCTCGATGCCACCGAGACTGGAATCGAGCGGAACAATCCCGAAAGTTAATGGAAACGTCGGAGTTATGTGTGTCGATTACGTTTGGACGTACCGACATTTGAAAAACAGAACCTAATCCATTTTTCGTGAAATGTTTCCTGTAAATAAGGTAAACTGTAATAGCACAGAAGTCGCCACTTGTACGAGAAGCTGCGAGTCATTGCAATCTGATAGTTCGTATACTATTGCTCTAAAGTCACAATTCATGCTTATTGACAATGGAGTATACTCCAGAATATCCTTTAAGAATATTATTAAGAATATTCTTTGAGTACGTTATTAAATATATTACGGAGAATGTTTTTTCAGAAAATTCTTTCTACCGAACTGTAAGATCATCCTGCACAATGTTGCTCTCCGAACCAGACTAATGACTCGTAAATAACTCCGAGGTATCGCATTGAGCTTGGACTCGTGCCGTTATTTCTATAGGGATATATAAATGTGATATATAAATGTGATATATAAATGTGATTTCCCTCCGTGCGCCTCATTATACTACATTCGTCTAGTGAAAGCCGATTCTCTCGAAGGAGCTCGCAGTCATCGGTATTGAAATAATTTTCCAAAGTGACGTTATAACAGATTCGCGTCGCGACACCGAGGCTAGGTGGGAATTTATAATAAACGAGCTTAAAACATCGTCGTGGAAACGGAGACCGGCGGAAAATCTTGTATATTACATGAAGTGCTGGACGAGCGTTCCTGGGCGGCCCGAGGAGTGGCACTTGAACTTGTTGAGTCGGCGGAACGCCTCGTCACGCCCGGAAAATAATTTGCGCAGTCAATATTACAAATTGGCGGGAATTAAATTCGCCTCCGCGCCGGTTGGCTCGCTGTTGAGGCAAACTAGGCACTCGAATTGCTTTCAAATAAAGTCTTCCTTCGGGAATTCGTCGCGAGGAAATAAACGCAAGTGACGCGTTTCGTTTTGCGCGACGTTTACGCGTATCTTGACTCTTCCAGGCTCGGGATTTGAAAGGAGAAAGAAAAATCTAGACGCAGGGAAATATAATCAATATTTCAGCTTCGAAATCTGTTTGCAACATCAAATTATACGATTCTTTAGTTTCGTGTTAGTTTGTATATTGTATATTTAAACTATTTATGGCTTATGCAGTATAGACTAATTGCAAGAATTATGGTAATTAAATGCTGAAAAATTAAATTGTGATATCAAATTTTTTTAGAAAATTGTAAATAAATGTTCACCCTTGCCGTTGGCAGCACCATCAGCCGAAAATATCAAACTGATTCATTATAGCATAATACTGCAAAATACAAAAGGTTATGCCATCCAATTCTCCTGCAAAATCGCGAGCATGGTCCTTTAATTGTAAAACGATTTACTGGACTTCAACTTCTACTATACAATTTTACAATAAACACAAAGTTAGGTTTCAGGTTTCAGCACACCATAGGTAGAGAAACACCAAGTCGCGCCCCATGTCCAGTTAAGGGTTACGAAGGTTGTCTTAAAAAAAGAAATTTCGTATGCGAAATGAGCTGCCAAGCACCCTCGGGAGATTTCTTCTGTCTATTATACATGACCGCGTGCGCCGGTTCCGTTAACTACGTCTCGCGAGGAGAGCTTTGCAAACTCCTCACGGTCGTCGTAGTCGGGCAGAGCGTAGCGGAGCGACCGTGAGAGAGAATCAAGGGGCTGAGGATGAAGGGTGGCTCCGACGGCGGGTGGAACCGTGACTCCAAAGGAGACCCGGCAAGTAGAGATAGAGAGGGCATCCTGGTCCTCGAGAGCTTGCGGCTACGGTTATTAATGGGTAGGGCGTGACACCCCGCGAAATAACCCCCTAACCTCGCCTCCATGCCAGGACCAACCAGCGACACACTCCATAGCTAGTCGCTTGTCTCCTCATAGGCGTTAACTGGGCCAAGAACTGCTCATTTTCGAGAACGAGGGCTTTCCTCCGTCTCCCTCGCTCCCAACATCCCTCGGTCCTCTTCCTCGT